TTTATCATGCATATTATTTTCTCAATCTCTAGTATTTTAGTTAAATTTTTGTCGATGAATATTTTTTCTTTTAAGTGATCTATACCAATTTGAACCGCAATAGGAAGTGAAGTGAAAAAGTGCGAAAGAAAATATGAGCCACTGGAGATCCTTATTATCAAACAATATTTTTTATTTTGAAATGAGACTTTCTCATTCAACCAGTTCCTTTATTGCTAAGAATGTCATCAAACGAAAAAAGAATATGAACGGAATGCAGATAAAACAAAAGCTACCATAATATATCCTCCTGTGAAAAATAAGTGGACTATCTAATTTTTCTGATTAAGTTCCTGTATGAGTGTCATTTCATCTAAAGGACGGGGGGAGGGGGGGCATAAGAGGCGAAATTGGCCTATTAGGAATTTTCCGGGGTAACCCTATTGAATCATACATCATTCAAAAGAGCATGTTAAAATGAACATTTTGATACTATTTTCATGGGGTTTCTATGTGATGTACGCTTGCATTGTTATGAGAAATCTTCGTAAATCTTCTTGTCATTCTCAATTTTTCTTAGTTTTTTGTTTTGTTCACATAAAAATTTCCGAAATGACTCAAATATGGTCATTGTTGTCAACTGTTTGAAGAGTAGCGCACAAAAAACAAAAAAAACTATCGAAAAAAAATTGGAATAGTAAAAAACAATGATCAATATTTGATTCATTTGGTATATTTTCATTCGAACAGAAAAAGAGGAAAACTGACAATGACAAGAAAATCTATAAATATTTGTAACAGGAATACAAGAGTACATGAAATAGATTTTTAGTTTTCTCATTCATTTATCACTATTCATGACTGAAACTTTGAAAGTATGTTCAGCGACGATTGGATGTATCTGTGATATTTGATTGAGACGAAATTACAATCGTGTAGGATATTAATCGAAACAATTAGATAATCCGGTTTCTTTTTGTATAGAGAGATAAATGGATAGAATAGCGAGTTATAAATTTTTACGAACATGTGTGTAGTAATAAATGGGAAGGATAAGTATTGATTGAGTGAACAACGACGTAAATGAATTAGTGATTACTGTTGTTCCACTCTATATTGTAACAACAAAGAGACAAATAAGTAAAAAAACATCGATGCTATTGATCAACACGATCACTACCCTAGCAGTCAAAATTAAGTAAAAAACGCGTTATAACGAACGTTATTTTTTTTTCTTTTAACGCATTTTTTCTTTCAACAAATGTCCGAATTTTTGCGTTTTAACAGTTGAATTATTTTCGACTTTGAACTCGTTATAGTGAGTGGAAACACAAGCGTTTAAACGCGTTTTCAAAGTGAATGCGTTTAAACGCACAAAATCGGACACTTTTCATATGTTTAAACACGTTGAAAATTTACGTTTTCATGGGTTGAAAAATGAGTATTTGAGTGCTATAAAACACAGAAATTTTTCCAATATTAAATACTAATTAGATATTTTTCATTAGAAGATTTCTATCTGTACTCTCAGTTATCAGAAAGAAAAACAACAAGAGAAAAAAAGAATCATTAGATATGTATAGTTCACATTTTTTAACAGAATTTTCATATGTTATTTTCATTTCCTGTATATGTAACAATCCTTTTTCTCTTGTTGGTTTTTTTGATAACTGTGAGAATATACATAGAAATCTCCTAATAAAAAATAACTATTATTCAATATTGAAAAAAATTTCAATGTATTTTATAGCACTCCTATACTCAATTATTTACCGATTACTTTCTACTGCTGCTCCTAGTGGATTTGTTTTTTTAATGGATTTCATGTACTACCAATTTGTCGCCTTATAATAGCAAATGGAAAGAGGATCTAAAATACAAATAGTCGTAATTGCATACCTAGGGGTAACGAACGTTAAACTTAAATTGCTTAAAATTATTTCATTTAGTTATATTGCTAACACCTTACACGAAGAATAGGGCGATGAAAAAACTATCTATATCCTAAAAATGGTAGATAAACTTTGCAAACGATAAAAAGATTTTATTCTGTTCACTTTTGAAAAACTTTATTCCTTAATCACTTCTCAAAAATTCTGTAAGCATGCATTAAAAGATCACGATCATTCATTCATGTAGGCTTCTCATCTATATCTTGTAAAGACTATTCTATAACTACTCAACAATTTTATTTAATCTGCTCATTGCTCTAAAAAATTCTATATTTAATTCAAACAAAAATATTCTATATACATGCAGCAAGAGTTTTGGTCTCTTAATATATACAAAAGCTTGTGACTTGAGTGCGTGCGACGAAAACTCTATTAAGACCCAGTGAAAAATATTTTCATTGTGTTCAATACTTTAAACTTCATTTCTAGGCAAGACATAAAAATTCTATTGTCATGCAGTAAAAGATTCGGTTCTTTCCATTACACAAAGACTTTCTCTCTATTTTTTATGAAGATCATTCTATTAAAATACACTTAGATATATTTTAATTCTGTACATTAGTTTAAAAAAATTATATATTCAATTCATGCAAAAAATTCTATTGGCATGCACTAAAAGAAATTTTTATTCTAATCATTCATACAAAAATTTCTATTTTTAATTATCCTAAGAATATTCTAATGTAAACTAACCTTGTCAAAAATGTTCTAATCAGCTGATCGTTATAATTACTATACAAATACATATGATACAAATATTTCCCACTTACGTTGTTAGTGTGTTACGAGAGAGAGGCAAACGAATAAAGAGAAAGAAACAAAGAACGATGTTACGACGAATGAAATTAGCGCACAGAAACACATAGCACATTAGATAACTATTGGCTAGTGAAATCTACTTCGATAATCAACTAGGGAAAAGTGAATGGCCAAAAGAAAAAAACAATCGAAATATTTATTATTTTCAAAATCTTTTCTTTACCAGTTAAGTATTCTTTATGTTTTCTGTTGCTTTTCTTGTATATTTAACCCAATGGAAATGGATTATTAAATAAAGATAAAAGATTACCTGCTATCGACTAAAATATATCCTCACATTAATAGAATTAAACACACTTGACTGTTTAAGTGCATTTATTGTACATCGAATATCATCTTTTGTTAAATAAATCATCAAACTTTTTCAGCCGTTTTTTTCAAGGATTCAAGTCGAATTATTTGTTTCTTTTCATTTTCTTATCCTGGATGATTTAACACATCTTTGTACTATTTTCTATAGAAAAGCCGATATAAATATTCTAACGAACATAATATTTTTATTAGTATCGCAAAATTCATCGATAGCAACATACATATGTACATCTTTTTTGTACGAACTTATTATATGGAACTTATCATGAAACAACATAAGAAGTTACTAATTTACAATCTATTATGCAAAAACTGGTTTTTCAACCTGGAACTGATATTAAATTTCTTCCTGTTCATAAATCTTTTTTTTTAGTACTCTAAGCGAAGTGGAAGCAGTTAGCCATAATAAATAGATAGCTGTTTTCTTTACTTTTAGTGTACTTTGGATAGAATGTTGTATTAATCAGTATTAACAAGCAGCTTCTCTTCAATTAATTTTTTTTCTATGCCAATTCATTAAAATGTATGATATATCTATGTTAAAACGCATTAACTTCTGTAATTTCTTTGCATACAGACATTTAAACATGTTCATTACTCTAATATCTTCGTTAAATGCGTTAAATGGAAAATAACCGTTTTCACGCGTTTATTTCTTCAATTTGTCTAATAAACGAGTTTTATAGCGTTGTTTTCTTCAATTCTCATCGTCAATGCATCAAAACGACGTTTTTCCATTTATCTGTCCGCATGGGTAACAAGAATGAATAAATTTCTTGTTTGTGAAGAAGAGTTTTCTCTTTATATGTACTATATTAGACAATCAGAAAAATAATGTTCCGTTCCATCAGCTCATAATAACATCTCTTCTAACGAAATAATATTCATAGCTTTTCAAACATGAACAATTATTTGAAATTTTCGTATTTATTAAAAAATATCATTAAGTGCATTTCTAAAAAGTTAAATAATGGCTCTCATACATCCAATAATCATGCCGCAGCAGTATTCATATCATTTTTGTAGATCATGTGGTGTAATTAGTTGTACATATGCTGAGCACTGAGCTTTTTTTTTTTCTTTGACAAGTCGTTCAATGTCTTTCTTCTGAGTTTTATAATGCACTATTTAGCAAATAATATTTTCTACCGTTTCTCTCTAACGGGATGACTAAAGTTTTCATTCTAATTACACTAAGGCTTGTCTGATCTAATCATTGAAACTTGCTGTTTAAAAAAAATTATCATCGAGTTTCAACGAGGAATCATTTACTTCTGCTTTAAAATGGACCAAGCTATCATTTTTGTTTACAGAATATGTTAAAATCTGTTCATACATAAAGGAACCCATTTTAACCAGTTCTTTTTTAAATCATTATTTGAACCACTTATAAAGGTTTTTCTGCGTTTATCTCTCAGAATGCATTGAAACAGCTTCTTAAGCGTTTACTCGACTGTATAGAATTGAACTATTTTTTTTACAAAGTATTCTTATTTTATTGTACTGAAAAACTAGAGAAAGACTACCAAATTATTTTCAAATGCTTTTTAGGTGTAGATAAGATTCCGAATGAAACACAGAACAACTGAATTGTTTCTTTATTTTCGCTCACGGTCGTTGACAATCATTCAGAAATATGTTTATATATACAAAAAAACTTGTATGCTGTTGTTTCGAAAGATATGAGCGTGAAGAAAAACTGAAATATTCTGTTTTTATTGGAGACACTGATGTACTAATGATTTGAATGATTACAACCAGTCTCACGTGTTTTCTTTAGATCGTGCAAAACGTTTTGTTGATGCTTGCTCCATTATATCCTATGAAAGTTTACTAAACGCCGTATTTCCATCGGATCCTCAAGCCTCATGGCTCGCTAAACATATGTATCTGAACTCAAGTAGTTGCTTTGGCAATACGGAAGCATCAGTTGACGACATGGTTATCGTTTTGTTCAATGCTTTAGGTTTTAATGATGGAAATTTAATCACAGTGTTTGTAACATGTTTCTCATTGTTTCATTTCACATTCGTTTCTTTTTCAAGGTCTCGAAACAGATTGAATTTCCAAATGTCGAAAAAGACGGTATGTGCTGATGCTGATCTTACTGTTTTTAATTTGAAGACCATGATTCGTTTAGCACTTGTGGAGGTTTGATTAAATTTTAGCTTTTGTTATTATTGATGCGTTATCATTTCTATAGGATAAAAGACTTGACAAAGCTTTAGGTATAGATGAAAGTGGTGAACCACAATTAATTGCTGAAGCCGTTGCTGCTGCTATGTACAATAGAAAAATAATAAATACTCAGGTAGGATATCAATAATTCAACAAACATTGGAGACTATGTTTCATACTTAGAACAATCCACGTCGAGCAACAAGTGAACCATCAACAGATAATCCAACATCACCTCAAGCTGCAATGCTGAATACGTTATCCACGTCAGATGTAAGTCTTTAGGACAGTGTCCAAGTTCATCATCCAAAAAAGTTATCGAAAACTTATAGTCTTTGAAATGAGTTTTCTACTTTGAAAGAGCGCAAAAATTTACTCAGAAATTCAAAGTTTGACAACATTTCAACAAAATATCTTTTAATACTTCGAACATCAAAATATTTTTCAACCAAAATATTACTGGCAAAAACTATAACTTTTCGATCAGATCAGAGTTCTTTATGAATTTTTTTTTGCTCATAAATATTTGATCAAAATCATTATTATATAATACCAGTCAATAGAGTAGAAACTGCTCTACAAAATCCTATATTTTATCTATTTCCTTGTTTACCTAATAAACAAGANGAAATTGAATTAAAAATCTCATGTTAAATTACATTCATACATAATTATTATATTTAAAGTAGAAATTTCAAACATGAGTTATACATATAAAGAGAGTAAGTTTTAGGTATTTGGAATAAAATCAAGGTTATGATGTAAATGTTTATGATGTTCAATGATTATGATGTTCAATGATTATGATGTTCAAGTTCACAGTGTTAGCACTTCAAAAGTCAAGATATTTCCATCTTTTTTCACTTTTTTCCTTCTTTTCCTTTTTGATTTTTGTTGTCAAGCTTTGTAACATCTCTGTTGTAAAAGTCTTGGTATATAGGTTGAAAATGATCGACTAAGATCGAAAATTCCCGTATTATGTTAAAATAAAACACGATTTTGCATTAAAATAATTCTACATTTATTGATTTATTAGAAATTGAATTAAAAATCTCATGTTAAATTATATTCATACATAATTATCCTGGTGCTTTTAATTGCCTTTTTGCAGATATACTTGCCTCTGTGTTTGTACTTTGGAAAAAGTACTTATTACTTGTACCTGTTTTAAAAAAGTACTTAGTAGCTATAAGGAGTGAGTCATAATGAATGCAACGTCTAACTAGGAAGTACTTTTGCCAAACTACAAGTGAAAGTACCAAGTACTTGTTCTAAAGGACAAATTCAAGTACACTCTTTCGAGCACTGGTTCCTAATTCACGACAACTTATTGGCGGCTTTCATACAATTTTGCAGTGTCGCTTCGGTTGCTGAGAAAGGTAGTTTAAATTGTTGATCAGTCAGAGTGTAGACAAACGGACCGCCAAGCTTTGTTCTACAAACTCAACCTTTCATGATTTAGAATAAAGAATATGCGTCAAAGACCACGTGTGAAATTTGAGAATCGCAGATCCTTCTTTACATGCATGGGAAATCGCAAATACAGTCCGGCACTGAGCTTAGAAACATCTACTAAAATCCTTTTAAAGGTATAAGGCATACTTACAGGGTGTTCCAAAAGTTAGCACAAAAGTAAACTCGTATACCCTAGCAGTCAAAATTAAGCAAAAAACGAGTTATAACGAACGTTATTTCGTTTTCTTTTAACGCATTTTTTCTTTCAACAAATGTCCGAATTTTGGTGTTTTAACAGTTGAGTTATTATTGACTTTGAACTCGTATTACTGAATGGAAACACAAGCGTTGAAATGCGTTTTCAAAGTCAACGTGTTGAAAAGCAAAATATCGGACACTTTTCATATGTTTAAACAGATTGAAAATTTACGTTTTCATGGATAAATAAATGAGTATTTGAGTGCTATAAAACACAGAAAATTTTTCAATTTTGAATACTAGTTATTTTTTATTAGAAGATTTCTATATGTAGTCTGACAGTTATCAGAAAGAAAAACAGCAAGACAGAAAAAAGGATTTTTAGATCTGTATATATCTCTAAATACAATTGATATTTTTTAACAGAATTTGCGTATGTTATTTTCATTTGTTGTATATGTACTTTGTTTAAGAAGTCAGCTGCACTTCGACATATGTATATGTAACAATCATTTTTCTCTTGTTGTTTTTTTTCTGATAACTGTGAGAGTATACATAGAAATCTCCTAATAAAAAATAACTAGTATTCAATATTGAAAAAAATTTCAATGTAGTTTATAGCACTCATATACTCAATTATTCACCGATTACTTTCTACTGCTACTCCTAGTGGATTTATTTTTTAATGGATTTTGTGTGCTACTAATCTATCACCTTATAATAGCAAATGGAAAGAGGATCTAAAATAGAAATAGTCGTAATTGCGTAACTAGGGGTAAGGAACGTTAAACTTTACTCGCTTAAAATTATTTCATTTAGTTATATTGCTATTACTTTACACGACGAATAGGACGATGAAAAAAACTATCGATATCCTAAAAATGGTAGATAAAGTTTGAAAACGATAAAAAGATGTTATTCTGTTCACTTTTTAAAAACTTTATTCATAAATCACTTATCAAAAATTCTGTAAGCATGCATTAAAATATCGCGATCATTCATTCTTGTAGGCTTCTCATCTATATCTTGTGAAGACTATTCTATAACTACTCAATAATTTTATTTAATCTGCTCATTGCTCAAAAACATTCTATATTTAATTCAAACAAGAATATTCTATATACATGAAGCAAGAGTTTTATAGTCTCTTGATCTATACAAAAGTTGTGACTTAAGTGCGTGCGACGAAAACTCTATTAAGACCCAGTGAAAAATATTTTCAATGTGTTCAATGCTTTAAACTTCATTCCTAGATAAAACATAAAAATTCTATTGTCATGCAGTAAAAGAAATTTTCAATCTAATCATTCATACAAAAATTTCTATTTTTAATTATCTTAAAAATATTCTAATGTAAACTAACCTTGTCAAAAATGTTCTAATCAGCTGATCGTTATGATTACTATGCAAATACATACGATACAAATGTTCGCAACTTACGCTGTTAGTGTGTTACGAGAGAGAGACAAAGGAATAAAGAGAAAGAAACAAAGAACGATATTACGACGAATGAAATTAACGCACAGAAACACATAGCAGTAGATAACTATTGGCTGGTGAAATCTACTTAGATAATCAACTAGGGAAAAGAGAATGGTCAAAAGAAAAAGAATCGAAATATTTATTATTTTTAGAATCTTTTCTTTACGACTTAACTATTCTTTACGTTTTCTGTTGCTTTTCTTGTATATTTAATCCAATGGACATGGATTATACGATAAAGATAAAATATTACCTGCTATCGACTAAAATGTATCTTCACATTAATAGAATTAAACACACTTGACTGTTTGAGTGCATTTCTGGTACATCGAATATCATCTTTTGTTACATAAATCATCAAACTTTTCCCGGTCGTTTTTTCAAGGATTCTAGTTGAATTATTTGTTTCTTTTCATTTTCTTACCCTGAATGATTTAACACATCTTTGTACTATTTTCCATAGAAAAGTCGATATAAATATGCTAGCGAGGACAATATTTTTAATAGTATCGCAAAGTTCATTGATAGCAACATACATACGTACATCTTTTTGCACAAACTTATTGTATGAAACTTATCATGAAACAACATAAGAAGTTACTAATTTACAATCTATTATGCAAAAACTTGTTTTTCAACCTGAAACTGATATTAAATTTGTTCCTGTTCATGAATTTTTTTGTTTTTTTTCAGTACTCTAATCGAAGTGGAAGCAGTTAGCCATAATAAATAGATAGCTGTTTTCTTTACTTATAGTGTACTTTGGATAGAATGTTGCATTAATCAGTATTAATAAGCAGCTTCTCTTCAATTAATTTTTTTCTATGCCAATTCATTAAAATGCATGATATATTTGTGTTAAAACGCATTAACTTCTGCAATTTCTTTGCATACAGACGTTAAAACATGTTTATTACTCTAATATCTTCGTTAAATGCGTTAAACGGAAAATAACCGTTTTCACGCGTTTATTTCTTGTATTTATCTAGTAAACGAGTTTTATAGCGTTGTTTTCTTCAGTTTTCATCGTCAGTGCATGAAAACGGCGTTTTGCCATTTATCTGTCTGCATGGATAGCGCCACTATTTATCAAGTTTAAACAACTAAGTTTTTTTTTCAGATGGTAGGTACAACTGTAAAGCTTTTATTTGTACGAACGAATTTCACAAATATTGCTGAAATTTATCACTTTCGACTAAAATACAAAAAGCAGTCTTTTTTTTGACTTCAGAGAACAAATACTTTGCAGTGTTTCTCTTTCAATTCTTCAACGTTGGTCTTTTTTTTGTGGCGTTTATACCGAATACACCGAACACTATCAGTAATATGAATTTGAGCTAATGTGTCACTACGAAAAATACCTAATTGTGTCAAATTCGATGATCATGAAACACACGAGGCCGCTATCACGTTTCGAAAGATGGATGATGAACTAGAAGAGGTAAGTTGATCTCAAGGACTTCCTGATCATCCAATTTGGCACGATTAGGTATTTTTCGTAGTGACACATCAGCTCAAATTCATATCACTAATAGTGCTCGATGTATTCGGTATAAACGCCATAAAAAAAGACCAAGATTGAAGCAGTGAAAGAGAAACACTGCAAAGTATTTGTTTTCTGAAGTCAAAAAATACTGCTTTTTGCATTTTAGTCGAAAGTGATAACTTTCAACAATATTTGTAAAATTCATTCGTACAACTAAAAACTTTCCGGTTATATCTATCATCTGTAAAAAAAACTTAGTTGATTTAACTTGATCAATAGTGGAATTATTCGAATTCACTTTTTTGCTGACTTTTGGGGCACTCGTTACTATCATCATCTTTTTTGTTTGTTCACAAAAAAGCATCCAACATTAGTTTTTATGAAATGCCCCATGAATCGTTACCGCTTCCCTGTGCCATTTTTTTAAAGAATAAATGTGCTCATTTCATTACATATCATTGACGATTAGCAGTACAGGCATAATAATAAATACTTGGCGAAAGTCGATGACTCTGCATTACGTGTTCAATCAGTCTCAATTTAGCACAGTTTTCAGTTAACTTCGGTGTCATTTTCTTTAGAGCTATAGCAAGCATTAGTATGAGTATCCGTTGGTGTTCTCGAAAACGTTAGAAGCAATGTGTCAGCGTTGAAAGCGACATTG